AGCTAAGTGAAACCACGTCATACTTCTGGATGCTAGAACCGCAAGATAATAAATCTGTGTTGCGTTTAGCCCTGAAATTTGTGGTAATAAAGTAGCAATAGGAAACTATATATATATTTTTATTTATATACATTTTCTTGTTTTGCAAATGGTTTTTATACTAATAACAGTGATATTTTGTATTTCTTTATAATAAAAAATTCTACTTTTGAATTTTCTCTCTCTCTTCTCACTTGGAACTGTGACCTGAAATGATTAAACATGTCATCATGTCAAGATTTAACATCAGCATGATGTAAACAAATCCACCCTTCTGTTACAGTTGTTACACCATCAGCTTCAAGAACTCATGGGAAGTTCTTGTAGAAAGGGCACCAGAATAGAATAATTTAACTGATTACTTCTCACTAATTAGGAAAACAGTTTTTCTCTAACTTTTTCGTGAGTAGAGTGCTTTTTTCTTTGCTAAACTGTGGTTCTTCCAAAAGGGCCTTCGTGGGATTGCTGGCAAACCTCTGGCAGCACAGCTGCGGCAACAGTGTTAAGTCTCGTACTGCTGCTGTCATTCTCCAAAGGGAATTACCAAGGTGATTTAAACAGGAGCAATTATGGGACCATTGCTAGGGCCTTAATCTTCTCCTAGAAAAATAAAGATTTTGCAAGCCTTTACTAAAAGATATTATCCTTTTATTTATTCAAAATACCATTACTGATATCCTACTGTGGATGCAGTATAACTGTCTGCCCTGGGGATGTTCGCAGCTTGTAAGGAATGAGACTGTGGTTCCCATTGCATACAACTGGGAAACATTCAAGAAGAAAGTATTAATTCTACTTTGAGAAATTTGAGTGGGATGTTGACGACAGGGATAAGAAAGAGTATCACAGGAATAGGGAGCTCCATTTGTCAGGTGACAGAGATATCAGTGTGCATGCTGGAGCATTTGAGTGCTGGTTAGATCCTGACAAACGATGAAACTGTTTGGGTAGAGCGATAAGGTTTCGAAGGGTCTTTAATGTTATATTAGGGAGACTGGAATTTGTCTTGTTTTCAGTGGAGCACCATTATAGGTATGTAATTGGAAGTATGCACAATAATATTTATATTTCCAGGCAACATACAGCAACATTTCGAGAGAAGGGACATATAAGAGGAGATACAGAAGCGTGAACTCAGTGATGAAGCTATTATTAGTTGAGCTTCCAGCTCCACTAGACCTCTGTGATTTACAAGCAGCTAAAACAGTGTCGAGACCATCCTGGTCAACATGGTGAAACCCCGTCTCTACTAAAAATACAAAAAAAAAAAAAAATTAGCTGGGCACGGTAGCACGTGCCTGTAATCCCAGCTACTCAGGAGGCTGAGGCAGGAGAATTGCCTGAACCCAGAAGGCGGAGGTTGCAGTGAGCCGAGATCGTGCCATTGCACTCCAGCCTGGGTAACAAGAGCGAAACTCCATCTCAAAAAAAAAAAAAAAAAAAAATAGTGTCTGACACACCTTAACAGGTACTCACTAAGTATGTATCAAACATTATTGAATAAACCAATGAATATGGGCCTACATTGAAACTAGATGGATTTAAAAAACTTGTTGGATATTGTAAGCACCCAAACTAGAATGTAAGTTCTAGAAATATAATGTAATAGGTTATATATAGATAAGCTGTTTTCTTCCTCTGAGTTATTTTAAGTTTTTAAAATTTTGGATTTTCTGTCGTGTGAATATGACATGCTTTTTTGTTATTTTTATTTGTTTGTTTTTCATAAAGAATTTGTCCTGCTTGGCATTCTCTGGGATTCCTGGATCTGTTGTTTGGTTTCTGATATTAATTTGAGAAAATTATATAGCATTAGTGCTTCAAACATTTCTTCTGTTTCTTTTTCTCTTCTAGTTTGCAGGTTACCTTTTTTAGTTCTCCCACCGTTCTTAAACATTCTGTTATTTTTTTTTCAGTTCCTTTTCTCTTTCTGTTTTCAGTTTTGAAGTTTCTAATTACATATCCTGAAGCTCAGGGTCATTTTTTTGTTGTGTCCTGCCTACCAATGAGCCCATGAAAGGCATTCTTTATTTCTATTACAGTGTTTTTGACCTCTACTATTTCTTTTATTTTTTCTTAAAATTCCCATTGTTCTGTTTATATTGCCCATCTACTCTTGAATTTTATCTACTTTATCTATTAGAGCGCTTAGCATACTAATTATAGTTTTAAATTCTGGTTCTGATGATTCCAACCTCTTTGGCACAGCTGGGTCTGGTTCTGAGGCTTGCTTTCTCTTTAAAGTGTGGTATTTGTTTTGTTTTGTTTTCTGTCTTTTAACATGGCGTGTAATTTTTTTCTTCATAGCCATATATGATGTACAGGGTCAAGGGAACAACAGGAAATGAGCCTTTACTCATGTGTTGGTAGGTTGTGAGGAAGGGGAAGTGGTCTATAGTCCTATAATTAGGCCTCAGTCTTTTAGTAAGCCTGTGTGTCCAGACTGTAACTTTCACAAATGCTTCTCAGTCCACCTGCCCTTCCTAGGTGGAACAGGATGGCTAGATTAGGCCAGAGTTGGGTATTTTTCTCCTCCCATGTCAGTTAGGCACTGATAGAACCCCAAGGGCTTAGACTCTGATATGTCAGTTTCTCTTGAGGGCAGCTCTTGCTAAGAAGGACAAAATGATCAGGAGTATTTCAAAATGTTTCCTTGTTCCTTCCTCTGCTAGAAGCCCCAGAAAACTTTTCTCCAATATTCACTGTGAGAATCTGGTTGAACTTCTGAGGTAAAACTCACCAATGGAGGCACCCTTATGACGGGGCCCCCTAGAGTTATTGACTCTCAGGGTTATCTTCTCTGAGCTTCTGGCAATTCACCAATTACAGTTCAGGGATTTCAATTCTGGAAGTTTTCTGTTGTTGTTGTTGGAAGTCTCTGATATTGTAAGCTGTGATTTTCTGTACTCATCTGTCTTCTATCCAATTTGGGGCCAACTTTGTCCTGTAACCTCATTTCTCTGAATCTAAAAGGAGTTGTTGATTTTTCAGTTTGTTCAGTATTTTACTCGCTTTTTGCACCAAGTGACAACTTCCATCTTTCTTACTCATTGAGCTAGAAACTCTGAATGCTTTCTTTTCACAGTGGTATGACATGTGAATTCTAAAAGTACTAGATATGCATTCTTGGTCTGAGAAAATACATTACTATGGAAAATGAGAGCTACTTTTCTGTCTATTGAAGGCAATATTAAGAGAAGGTAAGGGAGAAGGTTAGAATAAGTCCTGTGATATTGGATTAGAATAGTAGGTCTCAGCATGAACTCAGTATGTACAGGTATATATACATACATGTATCTAGATCTAGATACAGATACGTATGTAGACATAGATATGTTTGCATATATACACATATTTTTTATTTTATCTCTGTCCACTGAGAGGGTGTAGAAGCTATAAATCTTAAAATTAGTGAGCTAATTTCTAAATACCTAGAAGCTAGTTTCTAAATGCCAATTTCTAATAAAAGGAGCCAGGCCTCCTTGGAGAAATGACTGATTCCAACATCGAGACAGGGCTATGAGTTGAACTGTCTTCTCCTTAAATTCATAGGTTGAAGCACAAATCCCCAGAATCTTACAATATGACCTTATTTTAAAATAGGGTCATTACAGATTTAGTTCAGATGAGGTCATTAGGGCAGATTCTAATCCAAAATGACTGGTGTGTAAAGGGAGAATTCCACTCAAAGATACAGAGTCATGTGAAGAGGGAAGACAATGTGAAGAGATGCAGGAAGAGGTGGCCTTCTATAAGCCAAAGAGAGAGGCCTGGAAAAAGTCTTTTCCTCATGGCTCTCAGAAGGAAACTGCCATGCTGACACCTTGATTTCGAAGTTCTCTGACCTTCAAAACTGTGAGATGATACATTTCTGTTGTCTAAACCACCTGGACTGTGGTACCTTATATAGCAGTCATAGCAAACTAACATATGGGTTAGCACAAGGTGAGTCTGGAGTATCTCTGATTACTAAAATATCAAAAAATGTTGGGGATATGTAAAAGTGACACAGGGACCATCTTAAATATGGGAAAACTTGAACAGCAACACCACAATTAATGATACTAAAAATTGCAACCCATCACATAAAAACGTTAATGAGTTTATACTGAAATGAAAAAAATGACTAAATAAATTGAAAGTTTTTGTCTACAGGAGGATTCTAAATAAAAATGTAGAAGAAATGATATGATTAGGAAATCACCATTTGCCAATAATTACATAAATAGACATTAAAATGAAAGGAAGATGATATTGCAGAAAATACCATGTTTACACAGTCTTAAATCTTCCTACAAGAAGCATTAACTACAAGGGGAAAAAGAGTAGCTTAACCATAAAGAAACCTAGAAGACATCACCTTAACGGACTGATAAAAATTAACATAATCAAGAATGGGGCAGATTGATACAATGTACCTTCTGATAGGTTGCATCAAGAAGGATGAAATGTGCATGAATGATGGCGTGTAAAAGATGAACATTTCAGGAATTTGGGTAAAGTGTATAAGGGAATTTTTTATATTACTTTTATAATTTTTATGTAAGTGGTATTATTTCAAAATGAAAAATGCTGCATTTGATAAAAGACTAGGTAAAAAGGATGAGAGGAGGAGAAATGAAGATTCATAGTGTGTTTTGCTTGAGTCATGATATAGGTGGTGAATTACCTACATTTCTTGACAAATCATTGTTGAGCAGATATTATGAAAGCAGAGCAAAGAATAGCTTTAGGAGGCAAGATAATAAGTTATGTTTCACACATGGTGATATGGTTTGGCTGTGTCCCCACCCAAATTTCAGTTCCCAGTGTTAGAGGTGTGGCCTGGTGGGAGATGATTGGATCTAATGGTTTAGCACCAACCTCTAGTGCTGTCTTGTGATAGAGTTCTCATGAGATCTGGTTGTTGAAAGTGTGTAAAACTTCCCTTTTTACTCTCTCTCTCCTGCTGCCATGTGAAGATGTGTTTGCTTCTCCTTTACCTTCCGCCATGATTGTAAGTTTCCTGAGATCTCCCCAACCATGACTCCTGTACAGCCTGCAGAACTGTGAGTCAACTAAACCTCTTTTCTTTATAAATTACCCAGTCTCAGGTAGTTCTTTTTTAATATTATTATACTTTGAGTTTTGGGGTACATGTGTAGAACGTGCAGGTTTGTTACATAGATATACATGTGTACATTTTGTACATGTACCCCAAAACTTAAAGTATAATAAAAGAGCAGGTTTTCCATGTCATCATGGAATTGTTATTAAAATAATTTTAAAACTTATTCTTTCACGAGAATTAACTGATACTTGTTTCTCTTAGCTTTAGAAAAAAATAATATGATAACAAAGACACTATTTTAAAAGAGAACAAAAATAGGTAGCATAATATGGTAGACAAAGGTCTACTGAAGTGGTTAGTATGAAATTAGAAACCCAACTTCTGATTAGTAACATAGGTTGCAGCAGGAGAGGTCTCCGAAATTAGGGGTGGCTGTGTTATTAAAGTTGTTTTAACAGAAGGGCATTTCTTAGGTGATTGCTATATTTAGGCTAAGTGAACCATATCTGAGGGGCAATTAATCACGATTCACTTTTCAAGTGTCTTATTTAGAACATTTCAATTAGTCATTTTGATCTATTAGGGCACATCAGATACAACTCCAAATCCCAAGAAGAGGTCATCATCAAGGTTTTAGCAGTAGAGCCAGGTGGATGGCATGCCTGAATTTTGATCTGAAGGGAAACCACTTGAGCCAGCACACTAGGGAAATGTATTTCTCTGATACTGTCAAAATCAATGGATCTTTCAAATGTACTATTTTGTAAACAAGTGCCTGGTTATCTACTCTTTCCATTTTTTTTTAATTCCTACTACTCACTTTCTATGTGTACTTACAGAAAAAACAGATCTGTTTTCTCACTGAAGCCTATGTTAGTTACTATGGTTTATTAAATATAGCTTGGACTTGATCCCCTATTCTCCCTCCCAAAACAGTTCCTGTAATAAGTCATAATACAGTTATTTAGTTATTTAATTGTCTTACTTTTGTTATATTTATTAACTATTCTTACAGATTAGATGGTCATTTTTATGGATTTTATCACACTGTTGCTGACCAACAGCCTTGTGTCAAATGCATTGTAAACCTTAGGATGCTTATCCTGTCTGTATGCCTTGCATTACTATACACACTAAATCCTCAGGAACTGTTCAGGTATATACTGTGAAACTGGGAAGGTGCTAAGGGAGGGACACCTTATTTCTGCGGCTTCTTGGGATTAGCTAGATGGTTTGTGAGGCTGTTCTTCCTACTGTGTCATTTTGTGCCATAAAAAGCCTTCTGGTGTTAGTGAGCATATCCTCAAGAAAGGAAAAAAGCATCGAATGAAGTGGTTTATTGGATTCTCTCCTTCCTTTGGTGTCTTATTTGTAGAGCCAAGCTGCATAAAAAGAGCTGAGATAGATTTTCCTTTTCCCTGCTGCCTCTTTCAGACCTGTAAATAAAGCATTCTGTTATTGATCTGCTGCCGGCACCTCCTGGAGCAATAGTTTTGGTCTATAATTCCTTTAAACTAGTTCTCAGCAACTCGAGTCAGGTTGGCTCCCTTTTTCTTTAGTTAACTTTCTGATATGTGAATTTAGCAGAGGAGTTTCTTTTAATAGACTCACGGTTTACTATTTAAATCAAAACAAAACGAAGCAAACAGACTGGGCAGCAGAATGCAGAGAGACACCACTGGCTCATGCTTGCAGTAGCCTTGTTGCTTAAATATAGCTTCTTATGTACCTGCTTCCAAGATAATTTATGCTTATTTGTTATAATGCCTTTAGCACAGGATACTCAATGTATAGCAAAAAAAAAAAAAAAAAAAAAAAAAAAAAAAAACCAGATCTGCATTCCAAAGAAATATCATTCTTTACCTTTTAAAAGCCCTGACTTTTATTATTTTGGTTGATTCCTGCATTATTTTATTTGCTTCTTACATTATTTTGATCTCAAAGAAAGATGAAACCCAGAAAGTTGTGAGCTTCTCAGTGGGACAGGGTATACCAAGAGTGTGGTGTGGGCTTAGTGGTGAGGGTTCGGGATCCCCTGGCCTTGCCCTCCTGAGGCTTCATGCCACTTGCTACTCACCAGCACTCAGCAGCTCTTTTGTAGTTCAAGGAGAGACTCTGCTCCAGGTGTCTTTGGAATTAATAGCTCAGTCAACCAGGAGACATGGTTTTCTCTTTTCAACATTACGAAACCAGTGCTCAAATGTTAAATTTTTGTTTCCTCATTTCTCAAGTGAAGAAAATATTTCTGGTTTTTTTTGAGCATATGCTCAGCAATATGGATGGGAGACAGAAAGTATTAAATTCCATGTTCTAGCTCTCATAGAGTTTTTAAATCTAGTAAGAAAAATTAGATATATGTCCTAACAGCAAACAGCATTCGATGGGCGGTTGTTAGCAGTATTACCAGTAGAAGACATTCTCCTTATAACGGTTTTCTCTTTGACTCCCTGGATCGCACAAAGAAGACAAAAGGTACTTTAATTCACCAGATAGTGACATTTTTTTTTTGACATTTTAAGATTATCAGAACAATCAAATCCAGCTGACCCTGTTTATATGTGTGAAAGAAAAGAAAACTATGCAATGATTCTTTTACTGATGAGGCCTTTCTCATATTATATTTTTTGCAATCTTCTAATTAGCTTCATTTTCCAACTACCATAACTATCTTTTTTATATAATAAAAATTTTTATTGACAAGACAGTTTGTTTTTTCAGGAATTCCTCTCTTCCTCCTACTCTTTCATTGACACATAGCATCAGGTACTGAGCCCTTCGAACACCAGACCTTTCTAACCATTCTATGCACAATATATTTTGATTTCTCTAAGTGTTTCTTTTAAGATTTAAAGCTATATAATTTTCAAAAATAAAGATAGGGAAACTAGGTTCTTACCAAAAAGGAAAACAAAAATTAATAGAGGATTTAGTGGGTTGAATTGTGGCCCCTTGGAGATATGTCCATGTCATAATCCTCAGAACCAGTAGATATGACCTTATTCAGAAAAAAAGAGTCTTTGCTGATACAATTAGATTAAGCAGCTTAGGATGAGGTCAGTTTGGATACGGTGGTACTGAAATACAATGACAAGGGTCCATATATGAGAGAAAACACAGACAGCTGAGGAGAGATACAGAGGAGAAGGCCATGTGCTGACGGAGGCAGCTTTATGCTGTTACAATCCATGGGGCACCTAGAGTCACCAGAAGTTCCACGAGACAAGGATGGATTCTCCCTGAGAGGCTTAGGAGAGAGCATGGCACTGCTGACACCTTCATTTCTGATGTTTGGACTCTGGAACTGTGATAGAATAAATTCTTGTTATTATAAAGCTCTCCGTTTATGGCAGTTTGCTATGGCAGCCCTGGAAAACTAATATAGAGAGTATTCTAGAAACATAGAAGACAAAAGAGCTAGTCAGACTGGGTAGATGGGTTTTTAACACAAACTCCTTGTTAAGATAGAGACACTGGGAGAAGTGTAGAATAACAACTTTGCTCATCAGCATTTATGCCTATCCTTTCTTCTTCTCTCCTATTAGAGAAGTTTTAATCTCTAATCATCATGCTGATTCCGATGTTTTCTCCGGGACTACAGAGGTACTAAGATCCCTTCTCTGTTTCCCTTCTTATTTCCTGTGTGAAACGCATATGATGTTTCAACTTTTCCCCATTATAAACAGACCAGTGTGCCTCCTTTTTACCTAGGTGGGAGTTTTTCATTAGGGTAGGACTAAATAGTGGTATTTTAGGTTATATGATATACACATTTTAGGTTGTCATATGTATTTCCAACATTCTTCTTGTGTCTGTATTGATTTAAACTCCCTCTAGTATAAGCTTATAGTCTTCCCCACTCCTTCAATAAAATATAGCGCTAGTCACGTGAGAAAAAGGTAGCTATAAAAATACAAAATAATAGTATTTAATGGAGAAAAGAAACAATAAAGAAACAATTGCATGTTTTAGCTTAGTATTAGCAGCTGTATTTCAATGCATAGAAAAGGTGGAAAAGCTATATATCAAAAAGATTTTTTTTGTTAGCATGGTTAAGAGAGAATGGTGAGAGAACTAAAAATCTGTATTTATTGGTGCTAAGAAAAATGTATTCGTGCATGACTTGTGACATCAAAAGGTATTTCAAATCTAATATCACATTGCTTGTCAGATGGCCTGTGTTTTACATATCTTTAGAAAATAAATAGGACCAATAAAACCATGATATGATGCTGCCTTATTGAAATTTTCTATTTTATTCTGAATAAATGAGTTCTTTAATAATTCTTGGACATAAATTTTTCTTATATTATGCTACTGTTTTGGTGCTTCTCTGGGCACAAACTAGAGTTTTAATGCTTAGTTGTGATGTAATCCTTTTAAAGACATTAACCGTCATGTACAGTACTAATGTTGTACATGTCTGCATTGAAGTGCTATCAATATGGTCAGGGCAAGGAAAGTATGCCACAACTGTCACCACAGCTGTCACCGGACTGGCCATGGCTCCAAGATTCATTTGTTTTAAATGGTCTCCTGATATTAGATATATTAAAATGAAATGAAGACATTCATCAACAGATTTATTGATTATGTAATAATAGTTTTAAGAATCCTCCCATAACTTCAATTCTTTCTTCTAGCACAAGCTCTTTCCATCCTAGATAAACAAACATGTTGAAAGAACTGTCTTTTCCTCCTTGCTCTATTTCCTGAATCCACTTGTTCATAATCCCACTGCAATGTGACTTCTGCACCTAATACTATACTAGGGTCACCAGTGACCTCCTGATCACAAAACCCATAGTGAATATTTCAGTCCTCATCTTGCCTATATTCATGAGCATTGATATGGTCGATCTCTGTGATGAAACTATACATTTCTGGTTCACCTTCCCTTTCTCTGGCTGCTCCTTCACTATCTCTATTAGGATTGGACCTTTCCTTTCCTCCTTTAAATGCTGTTGTTTGCGACATTCTTTATAAAGCTGTGCGCTCCTC